TGATATCATTTGCATTTTGCCAAATAGATTTGGGGATATTGAGATTGGGGATTTGCAAACATTTTTGAAAATATATGGTGTCATAAAGTGAAGAGCTAAGATTCAACCTTAAAGTGTTTTGCTTTAGCTTTCTTGCAGCTATTTAAAATTAAACACAGTAGGGAGTAGCTAACTCCCCACCCCCACCTCATTTGCTTTCAACTAGGGAGACTTAAATAATAAATTACTAAGGGAAAGTTATCTAAATAGCCAGTTAATGTTGCCATCAAGCAGTTTCTACTGGCAAACCAAATTGTCCTTGGCCTTATCTAGTATTTTTATGTGGTAGTCTAAGAGTACCAAGAAGAAGATATTTCAAATTTCCTGATCACTTTAAGGTTTGCAAAGCCTCACAACAACCTTGTGAGCTTATATTCCCATTTTTGCAGATAATGAAACAGGTGAAATAACTTGCCAGGGTCACATAGCCAATAGGTATCAGAGCTAGCATTTTAACTCAGATTGCCTGAATTATATAAATCCATCCCTCTTTAAACTGTGCCACACTGCCTCCTGTTTATTAAGATAGTTTCAATTATTAGCATCCTTTGTGGCTCGGGGAAAAAAAAATTAGAAAGGCAGACAACTATGTTTAAGAAATGTTGGTGCAAGTGTCATATAGAATGATCAAAATAAAGTAAAAAAATTGGGAAATAAGCATATTGAAATAAATATCCTATGCTTAATATAGAAGACTACAGGCAAACTATCTACACCTCCTTAATAACTCCCTAATAGCATATGGTAAAAGATTTGTATATTTTTAATGTATATTTTTCTAAGGGTAGTGATCATTTATAGACTCTAGGGTTTGACTGAAGATGAAGATCTCTGAGAAGCTTAATAGAGCAACAATCAAACTTGGGCCCATCAAATTTTTCTCTTATTTGGTGCATATTATACAGGCAATGCACAAAAATGGTCATACTGTGGAGTCAAAATAGTATTTAAATGTTTGCATTTTAACTTCTATAAAGGAACAAGAGGTCCTAATGAACCAATTAGGGATACCAGTCATAACTTTTAAAATTGTATCATTGACGGCTTGGGAGATTGGGAAAGTATCTTGACCATGGATTGATGCCCTGTGACTCAAGTTTAGGACCCTTAAATTGTTCATCTGTTCTAAAATTGTGGTGTTTACAAGTCTCATTCTGAGATACAACCTCTTAAATAACAAATTGGAATTGAATCCAGTGATCCTGTATTAGCAGTCCTCACTTTTCTAGTCAACATATAAACTTGGTAATTTGGAAAACCGATAAGTATGACTTCAGACAATCCTCAGTTTCTCTGGGCTTTGATCCCTTCAAATACTGTATAAAATGAAGGGTTGTACTAGAAGACCTCTACTGTCTCTTCTAAGTTCTGAATAACATGATACGCTTTTGGTTTAGATTGAGCAACAGAGTAACATTTTACAAAAACATGGTTGCTTTCCCCCTTAATCAACTTGAAGTGAAAATGTGGGTGAAATATTTTAAAAGACTACTTTAAACCAACTCGATTGAAAAAAAAATCACATTCCTTAAAAATATGGAAGGGCATGGAAATAAGGCCTAATCCATATTTTGGTCATTATCTTTGCAGTAGTAGAGTTTGGTAATAATTTGAGATAAGTGGGAATCTAAGTTATATGCTCTGTATTTGTTGCCCTGGCTTTTTTTAAGCAGATAAAGTTCTTGGCCATATCTCATGCACCCCAACAGGGACCAGGTTTTCCAGCCTATATGGAGAATTGGTTTTACAGAGTAACAAAGTAAATTCGTCCTTGAACTCAGCACTGTTGTTGTTCAGTCTTGTCTGATTGTTCATGACTCCGTGGCATAGCACATCAATGCTGTCCCATGTAGTTTTCGTGGCAAAGATACTGGAGTGGTTTGCTATTTCCTTCTCCAGAATTTAGCATTATCCTTATCAACATCTTATGTGCTAATACGTAGTACAGTTTTAAGTGAGTTAACAAATTCTCCCTAGATGCATAGAATCTAAAATTGCAAAAGCATCTGCATATATGTATATACAAGCCCATGATGTATAAATGTGTATATAACTTATGCATGAAAAACAGGAAAACAAATTCTATTCCTGACAATGAAATTGGGAAAATTACTATTAAGCTAATATTGGAAAAATCAATACTTTCCAATATGCATTTAGAATTATTGTCCATAAGGAGTCTTAACTAATTTAGGGCATTAATATGTATTTCATGATAAGGACAAGGTAGCAAGATAGTGCAGTGGATAAGGGCACTGGATGGGAAGTCAGAAAGGCCAGAGTTCAAATCCCACCTCAGATGTTAGCTGTGTGACTGATATTTGGGCATGTTTCACTTTAACTCATCTGTAAAGTGGGGATAACAGCATCTGCCTCTCAATTTTGTTTTGAGGATAAAGAGTTTTTTTCCCCCAGCATAAGGGTATATGTTTCTCTCCTCCTCTTCCCCTCAACACACTTTAAGAAAACGCAAATTGTGAAAACAAATTAGAAATAATTCCAAAGCGTTCTGCTTTATTAAATCAGTCATCTTCCTTTATAAACAGGATAGGACTAGATGTTGTGGGGGCAGACAGAAGTGTAAGAATTAGCAACCTTCCTTTAGAACATTTAAAAGTCTTTAACATACAGAAATTCTACTTATATAACTTCTCTGGGACAAATTACAACAGCAGTAAATAAATTTAACAAGGCATTGTAGATGCTTGGTCTTTATACCTATTGATTTATTTGTGTGTTTACCCAAGTTTCTTCATCAGTATCACTAGCCTTGGGAGAATGTGACAGGTTTTTGTGAAAGATGTTAAAAATACATCTGAAGGTAAGAGAAGGTAACCTGAATTCAGACTACGATGAAGAATCTGAATATTTCTCCAGAAAAACTCGACCATATTATTCTGAGTTATAAGTAGTGAGGTCTTCCTGTTTTGATTGATGTCTAACTCACTCCTTGGTCTACTCAGAACCAATAAATCCAGGAATGTTATGTGAATGGTACCAGGTCGTCAGTCTGCCCTAAACTCCCCTTGAGTAAACGGCTTGCTTTTAATCCAACTCCTTCAAAACAAAAGGCACTAATTCATTATGGAACTGAGTAAATTTCCTACAGCCCTGGGGAAGGGCAGGTACCTTCCCATTGAGTTAGTGAGACTCAAAAAAGGGTAGAGAAGGAGGATTGTAAGGCCTACTCAGGAAAGTTAAGCTAGTTCAGGCAACACTTTTGTGTATTGGGTGTAGGGCCACCTCATATCTCTTGGGCTACCAACTAGTGATTTTGCATCGTGACTATAATTGACCCAGGAAGTCTGTATGAATGCTTATAGATATTTACTAGTATACTTAACCTTGTTAGGTAATGGGAGGGGGGCCAGAGGAGCACATAAAAGAACCACCTGTTAATATCATGGATGTATTCCTATTTATTTTGATTTAGAATTCCATATTTACTCTTCTCAACTGTTACCCTAACTCCCAGAAGTTTAAAAGGTTTCTTGGCCATCCCCAAAAAAAAAAATTCAATGGGAGAGGGAAAGAAGAAAAATACGTCCATCCATGGGACAGAGGAATGAGCAATGAGGACTCTCCCCCTTCAAATACTGCCTTTGTGTGATCTTGGCAAGCCCCAAGATTGACTCCTTGGGCCTCAGTTTTCTCATGTTTGGATCAGATAGTCTTTGAGGTCCCTTCTGATTCTACTTGTATGATCTTATGAATTAAAATTTAAGAATTAAATTTAGAGTAGCTTAAGTGAGAAAGAAAATAGACTATGGTTTCTGCATCCTAACAAGTAGAAACTTTAACATTCCAGTTGCTCAAGTTAGACTAATGATCCACAAACTTTCCCAAAAATATATATCCTTTAGAGAAAAATACACAGTCCAAAACTCAAAAATTGTTCTGAACAATTAATTACACTTCAAGTCCAATGGTTCTTTTATTAGTCATACCTCTGAAAAAGATCTTTTGCTAACAAGTGAAAGTAGGCCCTCCTATCATTAAAAATTAAGTCTTACATTTAACCCATGAATGCATGGATAAATCCAGTTCCAATATGGCTAAACCACCTTAGAATAATAACAGATTTTGTGAATCTTGGAATAGAAGAATTGCTTTTAGAAACTGCAATGAGTTTTCATCATCATACTACACTGCAGCGATGCCCCTTTAAAGTTGTCAGGGAAAACTGGGAAACATCTTAAATTTATGATCTAGTGAAGTTCAAAGACGCCCAAAGCTATGTCTTGTTCTACATTCTTAATGTTAAAATGCCTCCCGAGGCATATATAAATAGCTATACCCGCTGGAAGATAGGTCAATTTCTTCTGAAGTGTTGTTAAAGAAAAAAAAAAGTGAATGTTTCCCCCTTACCTATGTGGAAGTGATGAAGAGGGAGAAATTTAGAAAGAGTCCCATTAACTGTCTAGAAATAAACTCTGTAAGGGTTTTCTTTTGAAAGGGCTAAGGCAGAAATTGTGCATGCATTCTAATTCTCTACTATTTTTCCAAGGCACCGAAGAAAGAGAACAAAAATAATGGAAATGTCTAATTTCAAGATGACAAGATGTTTTCTACATACTATTGAACACCAACCTGGCTTCATCTGAAATCTCTATCGTATATTTTGTCTTGAGGTTCTGTATATTTAGTCCTGGAGTAGGGGTGTTTACAAAAAAAAAAGAGGGGGCCCCGAGAATTTGAAAACACAGTAGTGGAATATATTTTATTATTTACAAAGCACCTTCAACATACATTTTGCTTTTGAGCCTTAGAAAACCCCGGCGAACTGGGCGAGCTCCAGGAGCAGTGTACTCGCGTTTTAGAGAAGGGCACACCACGACCCCTGGGAAGTGACTAAGTCTGTAAGGGACAGAGCTCTTCCCGCAGGATCCAAAGCCAGGTGTTCCGGACGGTGCCAGGCAGCGGCTGGCGGGGGCTGCAGGTAGAACATAGAGGAGGCATTCTCTGAGCCCGGCATATCATGAGAGTGTCTTTGTGACGACTCTCCACCCCACGCCTTCTATGTAAGAAGCAGAGGTCATAGCTGCGTCCTGAAGCATGGAGCCTTTGGAAAAGGATCCAGAGCCCTTCGAAGATGCTGCGGCTGCTTCTGCCGCAGCTGCTGCTGCCGCTGCCGCCGCCCCTGTTCCACCGCCGCGGCCTTGCATCCAGCCGAGATGCGGATCGCAGCACCAAAAAGCCGGCTTTGGGCGGGTGCCTAGCCGGGCCACGTCGTTCAAGCGCGCGGTGCAGACCGTTTCCAAAAGCGCTTCGGAAACTGGCCCAGGCGCTCTGCCCGGCAGGACCTTTTTGCTCCCACAGGAGAACGGAGAAGGGAGTGAGCGTGGGGAGCAGGGTTACCCCAGCACTCTCCGAACTCCCGAGGACAGCTCGAGAAAGGAGCGGTTGAACGTCCTGATGGTAAATCGATCCCCCCGGCCCGGCCGCCTTGCCGCTCCCCGCTCCCTTTCCCGGCGCAGAGGCGAGGCAGGGAAAGGAGGCGGAGGCGGAGATGGCCGGAGGGCTGGCGTAGCAGGCCCCCCTCGGAGCCGGTGCCCCCGCCGCGCGCCCTGCTGCGGAGCTCTCCCCGGGCTCTCCTCCAGCAGCTGGGCAGAGAGTGGCGGCCCCCCCGCCGCGGCCGCTGAGCCCTCCACTGGCAGCTCACCCGATTGGGCGAGGGAGCTGTAAGTTACCCGGTTCCCGGGAGCTCCGAGCGAGCTTTGGCCGCAGGCGGAGGCGCCTCGGAGTTAGTGGTACGCCCCAGGGAGCCGGATCGGGGGTGGAGAGTCCGGCGGCGCTTCCAGGTCTGCGGGACACCGGGTGTAGCTGTCTGACGCGCCTCTCTCTGAAAAGTGGGGGGCCAGTCCCTTACCCAGCCGAGACCGCGTCTCTTTCGTCATCACGAGTTTATGTGCTCAGGAGCATCCCGGTCCGGAAAACTTTAAAAAAGGGAAGGACGATGCTTTTGATTCAGTGCTGAGCCCCCAGGCAAAAACAAAACAAAACACCACCAACAATAACATTCCGAGGGGTCGGAGTAGCTCCCAGTCGTGTCCCTTGGTGGGTTTTCTGGAAGCGAGCTTGAGCGGTCCTCGGACCCACGAAGGACCGAGGCTAGGGTGGTTTCGATTGCCTTAACCTTTTCATTTGGAGGTATTCCGGAGTTATGACCACGGCCAGCGAGGTCTACAGGGTAGGCCCTGCTTTAAGAACGGTATCTGAGTAAGACAGCAACTAGGGCGTCTCTTTGGCATAATCAGATAGATCCCAGCGTCCAAAATAAGTGGCAAATGATGACTTTTAGACTCTCCATGGCAAATTATAAACATTTAAAAAAACCCAAAAACTATTCAACCAACAGCATACTGAAACCACAGATTCAAAAAGGGAGGGGAGAAGGCTACTTTTGTGGGAGCAAACTGAATAAAATTTACTAAATTTGCATTTAAGGAACCACGTTATAGTTCTTTATTGAAACCGAGAAGACTAAAGATGAAGATGTTTGGGGTTTCACTGAGACTTATACCCTGTAAGTGATACTTTTAATGATTGAATCTTTTTGCTTTTCAGCCTTTATCCCCACCAATAGGGAGATGGTACTGGGATGATGAGACCAACACTCTTAAATTAAAAAGGTAAAAGTATTTATGTGAAATATCCTAATGTGCAAAAAAAGGGCTTGGCTGGAAAGAACTTTTTATCTCCAGAATGTTAAGTACTTAGTGGGTATACTTATATTGAGTATTGAACTTTATAGTTAATGGTGTAGAGTAAATCTTTTTCTGATTGTCATCTTGAGAATTAACAATAGTTTCTACTTCTATAAGCTTTTACATCTTATATAGTGCTTGCCTCAGAACAAACCTGTGAGATAGGGCAAGTATTATTTTCCCATTTTATAGATAAAGAAAACTGAGGCTCAGAGATGAAGTGAGTTTTCCAAGGTCATAACTAAGTAATAGAACAGGGACTCCAACCCAGGTCTTCTGATTTTCAATCTAGTGATCTTTCCATTACACTCTTTCCACTGTTCAGATGGCTTAAATATTTTATATAATGTCCATATCAAGTAGCCTAAGTAACTTATTTGATTACTTGTCCAATTATTAAGTTAACTTCCTAGAAAATACGGCATTGTATCTAGCTTAACCTTTAATGTATAAATACCTTACATATTTAATATATATTATATATAATGTGTCTTATATGTCTTAATGTATAAGTCTTTTATAATTGTCTTAGATAATATTTAAGACATCTTTCATTTTAATAGCAAAGCACAGCCTCATCTACCTTTTCCACAAATGTCAATCTAGTAGAAGAATGTTCTTACAGAAGGATGAAAATGAACATTCATTGGCATATGATTTGCATAACAAACTGATGTCATTTAAAAGATTGGCATCATTTTTATTCAAACCAAATGTGTGTGAATTTTAAACCTGTTAGAATGTTGCAATATTTCTAGTAATTTATAAGCCCAAATCAATAGTTTTATAGCTCATTCCCCCATTATGTATCCCAGCAACTTCTACTCAGTAGTTCCTAAAACATCAGACCCTGTAGTAATCACCAAGACCATAAAATACCAGGGAAAAAGTTAGGAGAGTTGTAGGTTTTTGAACCAAATAGTCAAAGTGATTAATGCATATATTGAGAGAGGCAGGAGTGGAGAGAATACTGTTCTTAAAGTGAGAAGGCCTGGGTTTGAGGTACTCTCTCCTCCTTCCTCCTCTCCCAACCGCTACTTACTTGCCCTGGAAAATAGCAATGGGTAAATGACTGTTTAACCAGTGTACATTATCTATCTCGTAGGATTGTTGTGAGGACCAAATATATTTGTGAGAACACTTTGTGGTTTTTGTTTTGTTTTGTTTTGTTTTTGTGAGGCAGTTGGGATTAAGTGACTTGCCCAGAGTCACACAGCTTGTGAGAACACTTTGTAATAACAGAGGATTATATCATTATAGGTGGTACTGGTGCCTGGAATCAGGATGACCTGAGTTCAAATCGGACCTCAGTCACTTATTAGCTGTATGGTCCTGGGCAAGTCACTTAACCCTATTTACCTCAGTTTCTTCATCTGTAAAATGAGCTGGAGAAGAAAATGGCAAACAACTACATTATCTTTGCCAAGTAAAATCCAAAAAGGAGTCAATCAGAATCAGATATGACTGAAAATGACTGAACAGCAAATATAATTATTAATATGACACAGTAATAGCAGAAATAAGGTTTGAGAATTTGCATGCTGAAGAATATACTGACATATTAACTTAAACCTTCTTATACTTTAAGATTATCTCAGTTTTCCCTGTCTGAAAGTAAAAGTGGACCTTCTTCCATTCACTTGTTTAAAAAAATTCTGTAAGTAGACTTTTTTTTCATTACTCAAACAATTTGCAATACTGATTTAAAAATATTCACAAGATGGTGTTTAACCTTCAGGCACTTCCTTACTGCTAAACTCAAAAGCATCCATTTCATCCCTTCAGTGAGTTTCAAATAACAGTCAATGATATAATAGCACTAGAGTGAGGGGAAAGGTACCTTTGTAGCTTTTGTGCCAAATGTAGCATTTGAACATTGATGGAATGACAGACACTTTTCCTTTAAGTTCAAACATACCACAACCCAAATGAAAACACAAGCATTGAGATAGTTTGTGGATCCCTCTTAACTTGTAAACAAATAGGGCTGTGATCTGCTATTTCTGTGCCTGAGACACCCTGCACCTTGAAACCCTGCCCAGCCCAACCCCCTGGCATGGAAAGAGGGTAAGTGAGTTTTATAAAGTAGTTCCAGGATAGCATCAGAGGCAGTGGTGGTCACAAGAGATCCAGAGAACAGAGTGTCTCCTCTAGTTATATTGATTGTATCAGACATCACACAGGCTGTCCAGCCCTTCACATACATCAGGCAGTCAAGCAGCAGATGTTTAGTGTGTCTGTGCAGAGCTCTGTGTTTAAGCTGTAAAGGCTATGAAGGAATATCAAGGAGTTTACAGTTTAGTTGGGAATAAAAATACATCTAGTATATAAGTACTAGGTGAGAGGATACAGACAAATACTTATTGTGGGCTGGGGATGGGATTAGCCAAGTTTGTGGAGAAAGTGGAACTTCAGCAAGGCATTTGTGAACTGGACCAGAACCAGCCTCTCACCTGTGGGTGGCCAGAGCCAAACAAACAGAGCAGGCTAGAGACAGGAGAGTCAGAACACAAAACAGAAGTTTAATTAATTTCAGAGTGAGGAAAATGACATATACATATGGAAGCCCCAACTCCTAACAAGGAGAGCTTTTGCCCTGCAAGGAACAGAACCAGAGCTCTGTAATGGGAACAGGAGTGAAGTATCTGTCAGTGACAAGGAACAGGGATTATGAATATGAGTTGGATGGCCCTGGGGAATAGGGAGAGCTAAATCCCTCAGTGAATGCCTGGTCCAATCAATGTGCTTTGCCAGAGGGTGATATGATCCTGAGTGCAAAGTATTATTGTTATACCAAGCCCAGGACACAGCCTGCGTGCTGGGCCTTAGCTCTGGGAAATAGGGTATCTCCGAAATATTTTGACATTTCCCCCTTTTGGCCAAAGGAACCCTACCCTTAAGACCAATAAAGGAGGGGCAGGTATATGTCACAGTTATATTGCCCAGGGTGGGTGGTTAGTTCCTTGAGGGAACCTAATGGGAAGTGTGTCCCAGGTAATTTATTGCTAGCCATTGTTTGAGTGAGAGGGGGGACCAAAAATGTCAGAGTGAGAAAATGCCAACATATACTTGAACCTGGGCCTTGGTGGTTGGGTACATAGCAAAAGGGGAGAGATAAAAAAAACTAAAACAGTAGATTCAGCTTCTCATACAGAACATTAGGACAGCTGTCTCATCTGGATGTTGGCTGCTTTTGGGTCTGTCCACTAAGAAGCAGGGGCTTGCTTCAGGTGACCCAGGATTAAACAGTGCAATAAAATTTTTTCTCACAATTCTCATAATTTCATAATTACATTAAGTCAGGTACAGATCGAATTATTTAGAAGGCTCACAATGGACTAGTTCTGAGAAGGGAGATCTACATGTCACCAAAGTAACCAAGAAAACTTTAACGTCAAGTCCCATGTAACAGAGGCACAAGCTAACTAAACATTCTCTTAGCCTTGCTGTTTCCTTACCTAAATTCTGTAGTCGATATAATGTATGATAGACTTCGCTTATAAAACTGTCTGGTTCCAGGGCTTTTTCTTAGGAAGCTCATTTATGGCCTGTTCTGCCTTTTAAAATGATCAGACAGATACTTAAAAAATGAGAAAATATTTTTACTTTCTGGAGCATTATCAATACAATTTATGTGTAAAATCCAATTAATTCTTAACTAATGAAACCTTACAACTTATTACCAAAACATAGTTAAAGCCTTAATTTCCATAATTGTTAAATTTGGTGGCCAATCATATCTATCTATCTATCTATCTATCTATCTATCTATCTATCTATCTATCTATCTATCTAGATCTGCATATAGTTCTTAGAGAAAATGGTCTAATCCTGTTACTTTTCTCAAAATTTACTATTCCATTTAATTAGAAAACTTTAACATTATCATCTTTGTTTTATTACTTTGTCTAATCATTTTCCCCTTTGGAGGATTTCATCCCTATATTATAATTTGACCATAAATATAGGTTAAAATTATAATGTGTTCAAACTTGAATCCTATTAGAATAACTCAGGGATGTTCTAGTGTCAATCTGTTATTTAATAGATTTAATGTTGTATTTATAAAACTTCTTGTCTTTAGAAATTTGCTATAAAAGGAAGAAGGAGGGACATAAGTATATCATAACAGAGGGGAAAACTCCCTTAGCTCTGTTGGGGAAAAAAAAAATTCCCTTAGCTCTGTTTGATTCCAGGCATGAGTCATACCTGACATCCAGTTATGTAGTCACAGAGTGTTAAAGGTAAGGCTCAGGATTAACAAGGTGGGGAATTTTCCTTTTCCAGAAAGGAAATAGCACAATGGGGAAATAGAGTCAGGAGGATCCTACTTATATCATGTCCTATGTCTTTCCCCATAACCTTTCCCAGGCACAAACATCCATCTTAGCAGTCCTCATACTGCCCTATATGCCATTCTCTACTACTGGCTTTATGACAATTCAGGTAACTATCCCAGTAATCAAAGCTCAAAACAGCAGTAAATTTACAATCCCAGGAATTTTTACCTAAAATAGAAAACTTTCACTAACTACAACTTAGAGCTTCAGTGTCTTTCCCAATGTTTCCTGAACAGTTAACATTTCATTAATCTTTTACTTATAAATTAAAGCTATCCATATTCTGAGGCTTCAAACATACAGCAATATCATTAATATGTTGAAGCTACATCTTTAAACTACCTTATACACTTTCATAATAGCCAAGATTTTCAAACGAAAATCTGCTATCATAGTAAATATTCTGACTAGTAGTAGTAATAGCATTATTGTTATTACCTGTTTATAACTAAATATGCCTCATTAAATATTTAGCAATTTTCAGATATCCATTTTTTTTATCACATCCTTTTAAAAGCCCAATTTTTGATGACAGCATCCAACTAAAAATTGCTTTGTCTAACAGCATTTCTGTTTTACAGTGGTCTCTCAAATTTTACAATGTACATTTAGAAATACAATAATAACACAAACAGTAAAATTCAGATGACACCAGTTGCATTTCCAAATTATCACATATAAATATCATTGATCTTATTACCTTTGACATTTTGAAACCACTTTAAAGTTATCAGATATAGACAAATAACATTCAATTAGAGAAATAATAATAATAATAATAATGTAGTATTTTAACACAGTTACTGTGTTAAGCTCTTTACAATCATTATATCATTTTGATCTCTCAACAACAACCATTATTTTTCACTTTACAAACCAGGAAACTGGGGCAAATAGAGATAAAATAACTTGCCTAAAATTACACATCTAATACATTTCTGCAACTGGAACAGAGAAGGGTGGGCTTACCAAGGGAAGAGGTTGTCTGGCTCCCCACCTTGTACTGGCATGCTAGGCGTGCCCAGATTCTCCCAGGCAGCAGTTGGGCAGAGCCTGCAGAAGGCCAGGCTGCCTTGGAGACACTGACTGACCAGGCTTTGGAGGCTGTGGCAGAGGGCACTGCCTAGGAGCTGGGGTGGCTGGTGCTGAGACCTCCCCATTGATGGTAGTTCCTGGTGGTAGGGTTCAGGGAATGCTGGCCGTGGGGCCTAACCCTCCTCCCCCCTACATAGCTGCAGGTGTTGGGGTTGGGAAGTTGCTGGGGCAGGGTATGTGGGGCCCCCACTGTGGCTGCTGTCCCTCCCTTTTCTACCAGGGGAGGCAGAATTCAAGTTTCCCTACAGTTCTCCAGCATCTTCTTTTTCTTAATCTGATCTGAGAGGTGTTAACAGAGAGAGATGGGCTGTAATGGTCTTGTTAGGAATCCCCACAACTGAGATGCACCCATGACTCTGGGGAAGGGGAGTGGGACATGCTGAGTGAGGGTTGTGGAGGAGAGTCCCTCATACTTTCCGAGGTGCTTTTTCAGCATGTACCCTAGTTATTTAAAGGGGGCCATATTTTCCTTTCCTAATGGTGCAGAAGGGGACTCAGGGACAAAATAGGAAGTCAAGGAAGAGTTAACAAGAGTTTTCTATTTACCTATTTTTTACACTTTCTTCTTTTCTGAACTTCCTTCTAACTAATTTACCTTCACTGCCCTAGAACAATGAAGCTATTACTTTTAAGTCAATTACTTTTAACACTTAAAAAAATTTTTTAAATAAGATTTAATTATTATTTTTCCTTAAAATGAATCCTACAGAGTGGTACCTCAAAACTTAGTAAGATATTTCAGAAGGGAGCAGCTAGGTGGCACAGTGGATAGAGCACTGTCCCTGGAGTCAGGAGGACATGAGTTCAAATCCAGCCTTAGACACTTACTAGATAGCTCTGTGACCCTGGGCAAGCTACTTAATTCCCATTGCCTCTTTAAAAAAAAAAGATGTTTCAGAAGAGGGTGAGTTCCTGGAATTACCCCAAAGTCTCAGGAGTTTTCTTCTGCAATCTTAAAATGATTAATTGCCAAACACTTTAATGATTAATCTCAAAACCTCCAGAATCTGCTAAGATGTTTTTAGTGGTTCTGAGACTTTAATTATCTAACTATTTCTGTAGCCCCAACTTGGCCAGTGTTGGGACCACAGGAAAAAAAATGTCTTACAGGCTTTTCCTCTCTTCTTATAACCTAATCTCCCTCAGAAAGCCTAAGGTGAGAATTAGTAAAGTTAATAAATCTTTTGCAAGTGTTCTCTCTACAGCCCTTAGAAAGTTTTCT